CATGATTATATATATATATATATATATATATATATATATGAAAAGGACATTCGCGATACGCCTGATAATGATTACAGCATTGAAATACCACCATTTTGCTCTTACGTTTGGTGTTCATGATACCCTATAGCTGATGGTGGTAAATAAGCCCGAGATTTTTTATCTTGTTACATCGACCAGATGTTATTCACCTGACTAAAGTTGTGTTGGTTTTATGTAAACAAAATAGTCGGTTTTGTGACCATTCGCGCACTTGATTGAATAGATATCAGGTTGAAAACCCGCAGGACCTATGGGTCGATAGCATGTGCCTGAGTATACTTTACTTTTGTGTCTAGACCGGTGGATATACGAATGAAGCGCCAAGCTAGAAGTGGAATCAGATTTGCACGGAAAAACTAACTGCTTTTATTTAACAGAGTCGTATCAACATTTCGTCACATTAACCTAGAATATACTGTACCCTAGAATATCATGTATTTGGCAGAAGCCAATTCTTTCTAATAATATGTGCACACTGGAGAAAATAGAGACCACTACTCTACCCGATTCAGCAAACTGTTCAGCGTCATGTGTGTCACGTGAACGGGACCAACGTGCCCATAGACAGCCTTCAAAGCTCTTGTAATCACGTGGTACCAATAGTTACTCACAATTGTCTGTCCGTTCATCTTTGTTGCAAACCACATTTTGTATGCCCTATGCATGTTTTAGGTCACCCAGCTAGGGGAGAGACTGAAATCTGTTCTCGGTATGGAAAACCCATCTGCTGAAGTTTCCGAGACATTACACGCTACCACTCAAGTGAGAAGCCCTAATCTTTCTCTAAAATAGCAGCTTTCAACAAAAAAGGCAGGAATTTGTGCCGATATTCTCGTACGCAATCATTCCTAATGAGCTCGCTTTGTATTGAATTTTCTGACCAGGTTTCCTGAGCAGCTTCAGTACCCGTGACTCATCAGCCTGTTTGGAACAACGAAGTTTTCAGTCCTCTCAAAAACATGACAGTTGCCGAATGATAAGTTTAGACTTCATTCTCAGGTTTGTGCAGTTTTTTCCTCCGTGGCCGACCAGTGAACAGTGGATGCTTTAATTAGTATCTAGAGCATGAGACTGGAGGGTAGCTTCAGAAGGTCTTCTTTCTGTGCTAGTACCTGGCAAGGCTAAACTTGCGAGTAGTACTCATAATGGGAAGACGAAGCACACCTGGATTTCTCATAAGACTGGCACCGCAAGATAATTCGGTGTCTTGAAAATCATTCCAACTGGAACATGGAGCGGTCTTTGTACAGCACATTCCGCCGAAGGATATTAACAACGAAAGAATTAGATGAAGTTCGGGGGCGAGATGGGCCAAGTGATTAGAGCGCGAATTTGCTGACCGGAAGGTCCGTGGTTCGAACCCGGCCTCTGTCTCTCGACCTCCCTTGTCTAGGCTTGGGCGACCGAGAAGTATCCCAGCCCTCGTTCTTCCTTCGGGTGGCATGGCAGCTAGGCACCGAAAGGATGCTATAGCTGAAAGATTTTTTTAGATGAGGTTCAGTCAGTTTCCTTCGGAACCAACGTAATTTGAAAATGAGTGTTTATCGTAGCATACGTACAGTTCAGTTTTCAAATAAGAGATAAGGTTGTTAAAATTGTGAGATCTATACCCATTCGATGAATTCCAAGAAGGATGAAAACAGCGGTGGACTTTTTAAATGCTTTAACCATCCAATCAGTAATATTGTGAGGTCATACGGCTTTTAAGCAAAATAGTGAACAAAGAGGAAAGGCGGTTTGCCCTACTGTCCGGATGATTTGTGCTGATTCGCACTAGAAAGCGGGAAGGTTTCATGTTACCCTGGTAACAATCGAAACGTGGCCACAAAAAAGAGATCCGTTCCTCTGTTGACATTTGAGTGAAATTGATGTACGCGCAATTCGGATCAACTCGACTGGCAGTGGTAGTTTATAGATATAGAAGAATGTTCACCTTCTAACAGAACTCAGGGAATTGGATAATTAGGTTGTCAGAGGACAACGGTGTTTCGTAGGAGATCACCGTTGGTTGATAAACTAAGTTTCAGTTGCATTCACCTCCAATGTGAGCGTTTTCGATCGTTGCAACATACATGCTAGACGCTTTACCGTATAGACGCTTTACGTATAGAACCAATGCAGACTCAGTGGGAACGAGTGAGATTATGTAGTCAAGTTTAGATCAACTTGTCAGTAACAGGAAACTTGGCTAAATATCAGACGAGTCTCCTGTTTTCCCCAAACTGTAGGTAGCATTAAGAAAATGGAGACAGTTTCATGGGACGTTATCACCGCAGATTATCTGGAGTATGATGGTCGCGTGGATTTTGTTGTATCTAATTACTGTCCCTGCTACACTGTCTTGGTATCGGAAGAAGACTCGCCAACAAGGAACACAATTGCTTTACTGCGGACAAGTGAGTGCAAAAGTTACAAGTGCCCCCGCGGTGTTTAAAGGACACTTTTGACATCGGTCCAGTCTGTTGGATCGGCATTTGGTGAACATCCATGATCATCGACCGTGTTTCTATAAAATGCCCGTCGGCCGTGCTTCCGACGGCCGCTGTTGGATCGACTGACTGCTTCAGCGTTCGATCAGAAGCTGGCTGTTCTACCTGGATGCTTGAGGGTTTGCCTACTGCGATTTTGGTGGGCTTTTAGTGTAGCAGTAACTTTCGGGCATTTCGGAACTATTAGCAGGAATCAGACCCTCCTGACAGTTTCGGTGTCACCAGCTTTGCCAACCTTAATGCGATTTGCGTTGACCTGCTTACCAATTTATTTGAAATTTTTATATGAACTGAGTTATGAAACGTTTCCTATCCCATTTACTGAAGCTTGTTAATATTGCAGACTGGAAGGTGATCCTCCGGACCGAATACTTCAACAGTCCGAGGAGGTGTAAAATTGCTCGCGAATCATTGCCTTGCTCAACCCACACGTTTTTGTGGATAGACCGGAAATTCACATGTCAAGCTGGATAATGCTGACAGCCGAATTTTGCTTTTCATCTCACCAGATGGTGGAATAGCCCAAATGTTAGGTGGGCAGTCAACTTTCAAGGTTCACTAAAAAGTACATATGAGATGCCCATGAAAGTGGCTTTTTATTGGGGGCTTGAACATCTCAGGCCGTTTAACCTGGTTTATCACTGCCTCAGAGGTCATTGGGATCTCGTTCTGCCGTGCAGACCGCCCTTTTAAAGTACGGTTTAGTAACGAAGCCAAGGGTGTTAGTCATACGCTTTGATCATGTGTTCTAACCCAGGTTGTTGCGTTGTTTTGAGTTCTGTTGCTTGTCTAAGGCTACCCATTTGATCTTAAGACAACGGATATGTTGCAAAACAAAACTCATCCATCCCAGTTGCACTGAATCGGGATCGTACTCACTGATCCTCCGAGAAATGGCACTGGCTGAGCTCGGATATTTGTGTATAGCTTCACTAGTTCCGCTTCTAAGTCGGGTAGCTTGGACTCAGATGCCCTACCTAGATATCCGTGACGTGATCTTAAGTTTTACAAAGTTGTATGGACCCAGATTGTTTTTCTGTAAACTCGTCTACGCAAATGTCGACTTATTTCACATGGGGGTGCGGTGCTAGTGCACTCAATCCTGATCGATCTTTTGTGCCGAAAATGGAGTAGAACGACTTCCACGCTCCATGGTGTAAGTGGCTAAACTTTGTTGTACGTACCTGGTAAGCAGTTGCTAAGTGGCATTACTGGGTAGAATACCACCGTCACGACAAGGAAGTCCACAGGAAAATGAGTTTGAACGGTTGATCGAAGTATTTGATGAAAGTACGGTGATATGTTTTGAAGGAGCATAATTTAAGAATACATGATATCTGGAGTGACAAAGTCGTCCAAGGCCTTCAATGAATTAGTCACACTCACACCCCTGTCGGAACTTGCGAATAAGTGCATTCTTGTGGTAAACAGCCCATGTATAGTCACTGAGAGTAGCGAATACGACATTCCACCAAAGATCGCAGTTTATAGGCACGCGTCATCTGATGCGTCAGCTAAACAGCAGACCTCGAGGGAATCGACTCGGCCCCTGAGGATACTACTAAATCTGACGAGTATTCAAGGAATTCACCTTAAGTGATGGGGAAAAACTTAAGACCAAAGTCTTCGGGAAAACGAAGTTTTTCTAGTAATTACTATAATAAGATCGTAAAAGCCACACTCCTGAAAACCCTAAGCTACCGTAACTTTTCGTCTGGTGTAAAAATGCCTGTCAAGTTTCCAATAAAAATCCGAATGTCTCGAGTAAAGCCATCATCAAGGTAAAAAAAAAACAGGGAGATACGATATGACTGCTAGTGCACCGTGATATATTACATAAACGACCATGTCAGCCGGTCAAAACGTCATGCATAATTACTCGTCGGGAAAAGACAACACAGTCCAGTACAGCCATAATGCTATGAGCAGATTTGGTAACGGCTGACTTGTGTGCAGCTCATTAAGCTTCGAATCCGTCTACCGCAACAGTGAGTTGACCATACATGAAACGAATTTTTCTGGAGTCAAACAGTCGAGTTGCTTGGGCGTAGTGTTATCACTGATCAGACACGAAATCAAACAGCTTATTCTGCGTATCACGTGATCTCACGCGCATGAGACAGGCGATTGAGGCAGATCGGAGTAACTAGGCCCTCAGTATTCACACAATGGAATTGAATTTTCGAAAGCTATGACGTGTCCCTGATGGACTAAAGCAATCGGACAACTGAGTTCAGAGTACCAGTCCAAACTTTTGAGCCCAATTTAGGCATCCTGCGGTGCTGGAAAATTATTCCACCAGACTTTTCCACCTGGGGTATGATTGCTTCGGTGGACAATGAAATTTGGTGAGCTGCAAAAATATGAACGTAGATTAGGATGGTTTTTGGTTTGAGCACATGCGCAACCAAATGCAAAAAGTGTTACTCCACATCCAAAGGCTTTGCAGATAAGAGCATTGTGCGGCTAATGGGCCCCGAGTAACTACTAGGGTTGCGTTCGGATTAAGTGAGTTGTATGAGGCACATTTGCTGGAATGCGATCCAGAGTTTCCATAGTTGAACGCTCCACACAAGTGCCACCCACCGAACACTGATGTGTTGCTAAGGCCAGAAACCGATGCGTCGTCGTGTCAACGACCTACGTGACTACCCGGACAACTGAAGTGGCTAGAAACACAACAGACCTCAGTGCGATTTCTTTGTTACGATCTAACTCAGCGGAATAATAATGATTCTGCTGAGAGTCAGTTGATATGGAGAACTTCCAGTGTTGACCACAGGAACCAACGCAAAGGTTTTATTTGGATGAATCAGAGAAAGTCAGGCTTCCGGACGAATAGCGTCTTGGCCTGGTTGAATGATAATCCATTTGTAACATTCTCCGCGCCATGATGTCAAACGGTAGCAGCTAAGTGATTGTTGATTGTAGATGGGGATGAGGATGGTATACACTTCTCTTCACACCTTACAAAGAAGATGACAAGTTCGTCGGTCTGCAGAATGTCATGAAAGAGCAAACTTCATGGGAGAATGCAAATACTTATTTATTTGGGTCGTTTAAAATAAGACATAACCGATATTTTGGGGAATTTTTCTCCATCCTAAGCGTAAACATTCTACTAAAATAAGGGATATTTCTTTACTAGGGTGTCTGCAATGTATATGTGAAAATCATGCGTTGGTTATACTTACTTTTTAGGTTTTCCTTCCATTGCAGCTTTCTCCTTCATGGCAGTAATGTTCAACACAGCCCCATCTCCCATCACAACGTTATGTTTCTGAACAAATCCAGCGAGCTGTGGGTCCATACCGAAAAACGGACTCGCTGGGTCGTAGAACATAGCGTTAGATGCTGCACTATCTTCAGCTTTCCCGTACGAATCGTCCACATAGGCATTGGTTTCTGGTGATATTGTGTTGCCATAAGCCGGCTGAACCGGAGCATACGAGTCTTCATCGTCCACGCGTCTTGCTGGAGTATATCGATAGTTCGCCATATCCGTTAGCCCTTTTTACATAAATAATTTAGGTAGCTCCATCAGTTTCCAATGAGTTACTCAACTCTCATAATGCACAACACATTGTAAAGTTTTGCGAAATTGAAACAACACATGAATGGCGTAAGTTTTTGAAGAACTACAAACAAGTTTAATCGACTGGAGTCAATCCGTGTCATGGATTGGTTGGTTGATTGCGTCAGTTAGTCGGACTCGCCGATACACACACACACACGGACGCGTACTTTGAGTTGAGCGTGGCCATGCCAACGAGCAACAACAACTCCAAGGACATAATAAGATAGACGTAACAACTAAATTGCAAATTCATGCGCTGAATGAGTCACACCCACATGCTGGTGTAATCGGGCGGGTACGAAGGTTGAATGAATGAATGTGTGTATGTGTGTGTATTTGTGTCTCAACCACGTTGGCATCTCAATGAACTCAGGCAACATCACTACAGCATACTTATGGCTAGGTGTACAAAAGCGAGAAGGATGCTGAAAAGAGATAACCGGTCTTGAGTTATTTGTACTAATTAGTGTGATATTTGATATTCATTAAAAAGTTGAAGCGCATTTATCTTTGTACAGCTAAATCATTATCGGAGAGGAGTAATCGGCTGAACTGGAAGCACTCATGACCGCTATCGGACATCGGGATTGCTCTCATTATGTCATCCGTCTCCTAGTGGACAAAGGAGAAATGATAGTGAAAAAGGAACGAAGCACCTATACACCTATGAAGCCAACTTTGTAGATACAGTCCTCCTTAGTCACCCTAATCTGGTCAGTGAGGATGTACACTGCGGGCTGTGCATTTTACAGAGTTGTAAAGATAATATGACTACCGTTTTATCACGAATGACCAGCTAAGTTTCCAGTGCATGGATTAAGGCAAAGACCTCGTCCTAATCAGTGAACCATTGAAATGACACTGAACTCATTGGCCTTCAAAATCGTCATTCTCCTCTAAGTTTCGACTAGTTTAACCCAGCAGGAAAAATGCCAATAGTCCTGGGTAAATTCTACTACGGAACCCATTAAAGTGCATGAATCTCAGGCGCAAAATTTTGATTTCTGCCGATAACCGATTCGGTTTTTGTTCAGTTGTTCATTATGAGGACATCTGTCACCAAATGCTCCCACCTTATTTCCGAAAAATTATAAGATGAAACCTTTCCCTATCCAAAGGAGAAAAACTGGGAGTAACACATTTTCACTCGATTCTGTCTGACTGTTCACCGTAAACCCCGAAAATTACGGGGAGCCCAACAAAATCCAACTATCTAACTTCGCGTCACTGATACCAAGCTAGGTCAGAAAAATCTTAGTCTGTATCCTACAACTCCATAATTAACATTGATCCGACGTTAATTGACGAGTTACCAAACCTTAGTTACACCATGTAAGATATGCAGTATACAGGTATAAGAGGGACAATATGTGATTCTGTGGGTGGCAAATAAAATTTCCACACTTCTTACACACATTGCTAGTCACACTTTATTTTTTCGGTCGCTCGATTGTTCCTTATACGGTGCCGGAATTAAGTGTCTGCGTTGCATGCAGTCACAGTATTCACAACACCTATTCAGTGAAGACAGTACCGAGGTAAGACGTAACAAGAACGTGCCTCAACTCTTGAAGAGCCAATCTTTGTTGTCATGTGTTTCACTCCGGAGTTGTTCTGGGACCAGCATTAAGGACATGCATATCACAACCTCAAGAATTTTGAAGACCAGAATTAGCAGCGAACTAGCGGCTCTCCGCTTTCATACACATGCTGACGTGTTCTTATCTAGGTTGTCCACTCCTACGTTTTTGTTCTTCTTATTGTCAAGAATGATAACAAGTGTCTTGTGGTTCTGTGACTGTGCTCTGTGACTTATGCTCATTAGTTATGTATGTCTGTTTTACTTGTGACAAGGTGACGCAAAACTGTCATCATCTGTGAAGGCAGACTACCGTCACCACGCGGCTGTTTGGGCAAAAAGCACCAGAGTAGTGTCACTTTTGTATAGATTATAACCGCTGAGTTACCGGGCACAGGGATAGTCGGGGTTTGGTAAATTGATCCATGCCTACTTGATTATCGTAGTGTTAAATTCAGTATGACTTAAGGCAGACTTTTTGTCTATGGTTGGGTTAATTAGCGCATTCCATCATTCAAAGCGTTCCGCCAGTAGCCAGTAACGAAATAATGGACAAATATCATGTATGGGTACCTAAAAACCACTGACTTGGATACCACTGAGTAGACTTTATTGACCTAAACCTATATTAAGACGTCAATAATAATCAACAAACTATTTCAAAATGCCCTGACTGAAATTTTGTCCCCCCCCCCCACAACTAAATGCCAGCAGGTTTTATTCCTCTGGACGATAAGACGGGAGAGTTCGGGTCAAGCTGAATTGAGTGATAGAGAATGGATTCAAAACCAAAGCATTCAATGAAACATAAAACGTTGACCACGGCTGTATGAAAATGAAACGGTATTGGAGGTAAGTATGGTAAGAATCGATTCGAAACACAAGAATCATACAGCTTTTGTGGAGACAACTGGGATCCGTCCAAGTGTTGGATTTCCTAAAAAGCCTCATCCCCAAATAAATTTTATTTTGACGAAAGATCCAGCTGGAATCCACCGTGACTTGCATTCGTACTTTGTCCTTTAGCCCGTGACAATTTACTGAATAGAGTAATCTTGTGTTTCAGTTGAAACGATAATTACGATATCGAATTACCTCTCCCAGAGTTTCGATAGAGCATTTGAATGAACCACTATCTATTTCGTCCTTCTTGGGGATCATCAGATAGGCCTAGATCCCGAATCTCCATCGGCTTTATTTCCTTACCTTATCACCGATATCAACACTCGTGCACAACCTAACCTGAGGCGTTCTTTGTGCACGATCATTGAGTTACTTAGAAGATCATAAAGGGGGGATTCAGCTGGGTTCCAGGTGAGTCTCTCGCAAAAGCGAATTTGCTTGCAAATGAGTGTATTTCGCTAATTCCATGCAATTTGGGTTCAGTCGAACAACAGATTGACTGAAACTTGGGGACTTAGTCTACCTGATGAACCCCAAGAAGGGCGAAACCGGTCGTCTGCTGTCGAAGAATTTTCAGTAACCTTATGAGTAATGTATTAGATCTAGACATGCTCCAATTTGTTTCATTTCATTCCGTCCTACCTATACTGCGGCAGACAATGGTAAGGAATTAATTCATCATGTAGACGTTTTCTTGATGGTCTTTGTTTATGCCAACCCGTCATTTTACTGGATCGACCGATCCAGAACTGTTACAATTTTGTCCCTAGTCTGATTATTCTGTGGGTTTGGAACTGAACAGTTCAAGTTTCACAAATAGATTTTTTTCTTTCTGTTTGTCTTACTACTTGGGGTATTTTCTTCACCAACTGTGAGATCGTTTGAAATGCATAACAGTGTGACCTTATCAGCCTTCTTTAAGGACACAACCTGACGGGTTTCAGTGAGGTCACGGCCAGAGGACACGCTTCGAACTAGTCTTACTGTGACCAATCGCACAACCTCCCGTCTCACCTGGTTCCCCCGTACACACAGCGGCTACCCAGCGGAGTGAAAGCAGCTAGCATTCAACAAATCTACAATAACGCTGTGATCGCGTCGGATTCACCTCTTATCCACGCTTGCCACTCGTCATAATCCCTTACACGGGCTAACTGTGACATCTTGACCAACTCCTCACTCTGTTCATCCAACATTCTGTGCCATGTCCCGCGATGCCAGTAACCAAGTGACACAATCAAATGTCTGCTGATCATTCCAGCTCACAATAAGGTTCACGCCATTGTTTCGACCCACTGTCTTTCAACCCTGCCTTGAGAGCCCACTGCAAATCATGGTTGGTTTCTCCTGTGTTCCGTTCATTTCCCCCCTCTGAAGATGGTTCTGTTTAGGGTCTGTGTGAGCAATTTCTCTGCACATTTCTCTCAGAATTAAGACTGTGTGTCGGGAAGATCAACTAAATAATCTGAGCTATCAATACCTCCTTTTATATCCAGATGTTGCTTTACTTTTACGGATATGTTTAATCTGCCATCCAACTACCCACGAAAGCTTACGTCATGATCATCTGACGGCAGCCAGCAGAAAGAAATTCACCTTGCCAGGAATAACCACGTCCACCGAAAGAACGAAACAACGAATTTATTTGTTCTCCTCCCCTTTGGGCTCGGAGCACCCTGTTAACTAATGTGCATGAAACCGTTGTATGCTGTTAGGCACGAAAGTAAAGACTTGATTTGCGATCTTTTTTGAAAGGTCAACACCCTCAAGTGTGTTCTTGGACTTGACGTTTTTTGAGTTCACTTATTTCCGAACAGACCTTCCATTAGGTGCACGGACTGCGCAACAAAATGACTGACCCGATGCTGCTCACAAGTTTCATTAGTAGTGTACAATGCCAAATCAAACTCTTACTTCACTTTTAAAGATGTTCCAGCATTCATTTACCCTTAAAACCACGTCATGTTTATCAGGTAGTAGCGAACGAACACAAATTCATTTCGCCAGGCGTCGTCGTAATTCCTTTCTTTCGTTGCCAAACTAACAAAATTGAGTTTATTTGTGCCTTCTTTGTTTCACCTGGTCACCGAGCATACAGGGTTGACAAAACCGGGAAAACGGTTCCTTACTTCTATAATACATTGTCCTGGAAGTTATTCGCGTATATTAGCTATGCCTACTTCGAAGACTAATCCGGTGACTTCAGTGCATGTGAAGGATACCTAACACAAGAGGGGATTAATAGTGGACAAAACATTGTAAACAAGCTAGTAGAGCGGAAAGCGCAAATTACACCAAATCCACATGTGCTCTTTGCATCCTAGAAGTGTTTTTATTGCTCACCACCGGTTTCACCCTTTTTCATGAAGCACCACCTTGTACGTATACATTTATCAGTGCCTATTTGGGAAATTAAGTTGATAGGCTCACCGGAAATTCACCTGAAACTGT